TGCAACAGCTCTCATTGGTTTTGTACACGTTTTCCAGCCGAGGGGTCCTCGATTTGGTTCCTGTCCTCGATTCATCGATGATGTTGCACATGTGTGTTCTCAATTTACATCATAAACAAACGCACACATACACGCAAGTGTGTATTAATTTGCCTGCAATCGGGGACCCCATATTGTCCCAGATTGTTTGTACTTAACTTTTTAGGAAGACCTCCCATATTTTTGTACACAATCACCAAATTGGGGACCTTCGGGAATTGGGGACCCTATTGTCCTCTATTGTTCAACGTCCCCTAATGAATGCAGAAACATACTCACACATACACACAGAAGGAATACGCTATCGCAATATCCCCCCGTTGGCTTTAAAGCCTGGGGGATAAAAATGGCCATGTCAAACAAAAATGCGATGTCATGAACAAAACTTTGATGTACTGGAACACATTTTGTGCCTTTGATGTCAGCTCGGGGCCACCACCAGTACATGTGTAGAAAGTATGTGACACAGAACGTTAAATCCATCCAAAAGAAAAGCAGCACAAGTTCAATCCATCCAAAAGAAAAGCAGCATAAGTTTTTAAATGAGTAGATTAATCCAGACGCAAAAGCACCGGTAAACTTCACGTTTACAAACACGTTACATGTACATGCATTTCAAGACTAGAGGTGTTCATGTTCATGGTTTATGGCTGTGCCAGAAAATGCGCATATGCTTGCCATTTAGAAAACTGTTGGTGTGCCCTTTACATGGTTCATGTATTAACCATCTGGAGTTAAACAGTTGTTAGTCGGGGGTCTTAGGGATATTTTGGTTCAGATTCTTCCAAAAGCACCAAATTTGGCACAGATGTCGTCCATACCATACTATTTCGATTTTTGACGGGCGCCCCACGGGGCCGCCATATTGGCAAAATCCAATATGGCCGCCAACCGGGTCAGAGGTCAATCGAACTAAACGAGCTAGAATCATAAATAATACCACTTTTCAGGTATTTTCGGGGTCGAGCAATCTCAATCTGATGTTATTTTAACGATTTGAGGTAAGACAGATGCCCCAAGGGACCGCCATATTGGCAAAATCCAAAATGGCCGCCACATATATCACAGTTAAGAAAATAACGAGCTAAAATCTTAAATAATACCACCTTTAATGGGTTTTCGGGGTCACAGAATCTAAATATGATATCATTTTAATGATTCGAGGCAAGGCAGATGCTCTAGGAGACGCCATTTTTTAAAAAAAATGGCCGCCACCCAGGTTGGAGGTACTCGCAGTTAAAAAAAATACGTGTTTTTGGGGGGGGGGTCCAAATATCTGATTCTGATGTTATTTTAATTATTTGATGTCAAGTTTACCACTCTAGATCATTTTGGTCAAACCTGGTGTTTCTGGTGCCTCATTCCATAAAAAAAAAACTTTTCCCATTAGCTGCACATGTCGGATAGTTTGACATTTCTACGCATACCACAGAAACAATCTTAGATTGGAGCGAGAAAATTGTCCTAAGTTATTGTAAGGATGTATAGGCGCGTGTGGTGTGTGCCCGCCATGCTGAGGATGGGTAAAGCTATCAACCAACGGTCGTTTCATTGTCTTCACCACCCAAGATGTTGATCACAGATAACAAAGGCTCAGGGCAACCTCTTACTTGGTAAGTTTCAGTGATATGCCCAAACCGTAAATATCCATTTCTCACATGAGAACCCTGCAGTGAGGCGGGTTCCTCAAGCTTGACTTCTTCGACACATCATAACAAGTTTGCAGATGGTGACATCCTCACCTGGTTGGGATACAATTACCTCAGTGCTAGCAAATGAGTCGGCAAAGCCCCATGCCAAAATCGGGATCTACGCCCTATACCTAGACAAGGCTGCATCCACATCTTATGGGTGCAACGGAGTAACTTGATATGCGACCCACTGCGCCAGTGAAGGATTGAGAGTCGAGTCACTGCGATCACTTTCGAGATCATTTCAAGCTTGTTTTGGAGATCCTCGGCCTATTGGAGATCTGGGTGGGCTTCATAAATGGTGAAAAGTACAGTAACATACTAGTCATAAGCATCTACTCCGATCTTGGTCTGACAAAGTCCTTGGCACCACCCTTCTTCCAAAGCTTAACATGGTGCGACACAACTTGCTTCGCCATTTCATGCAGAGCAAGGGGTGTCGTGCAACTGCAGGTGTCAAAGGGGCCAGACATCGCTTCGTCACTACTGAAAGCAGCTTGTCGGAAGCAATCCAGCTACCTGCTGTGCTGTTTGAACATGTAAAGCAACCGCTACTACAGGCCACCTCGGTCTAGCAGGAAATTCCTGACTTCATCGTGTGGGGCTGGCACAAAGATGGTACCAGTACATGGCAATCACTATATGGACCAACTCTCAATGATGCTTCAGTGATATGTGCCATTCTCCTGCGCTGCGGCTGCCTCATGCAAAGGAAGGTTGAAATGCTATCACACTAGGTTTCTATATGCAAGGTCCTCTACAAATGAACAGCTCCATTTAAAAGCACACAGCGGCATATAGCATTTTGTCACTGCAGACATCATCTCTAAGTATTTAAATGAAAATAATTCAAACAATAATCTTTATTGATAAGTCCAATCCTTAACCCTAACCCACCTCACTCCTCCAAAATCCTCCTGGCGGTTTTGGAGGATTCTAGAGGATAGAGGATGAATGGTGATTGAATCAAATGAGGATTCTGGAGGATTGAGGATGAATGGTGATTGAAGCACATGCGGATTTTGGAGGATTGAGGATGAATGGTGATTGAAGCACAAGAGGACTTTGGAGGATTGAGGATGAATGCATTTTGAGGCAGGACTGCCTGATGATTTTGAAGGATTTGGCGTTGGTTATCCTTCATTTAAACACGAGTGCAAAGTTTTGGGATGAGGAGGATTATGGAGGATTGAGGATGAATGCATTTTGAGGCAGGACTGTCGAACAATTTTGAAAAATTTAGGCGGAGTTGCAAAATTTTGGAAAATTTTTGAGGATTTTGGAGGATTGAGGATGGTTGTAAGCAACAAGGGCCTAGGGGGTTAGGGTTAAAGACCTTTAGGGCAAAATGTGACATACAATCTTTAATAAAACAATAGATTCAGATTCTCCGACCCTGAAAATCCATGTAAAATGGTATTATTAATAATTCTAGCTCGTTTAGTTTATAACTGTGACTGACCTCTAACTTGGCTGGCGACCATTTTGGATTTTTCTAATATGGCCCCTGGGGGCGTAATTTTTTTTCCTAGGAGGGTTAGGCAATGTCATGAATAATTCAGTTTTTCCTTTGAATCATTGCAAGACTTAGGTTCTCGTTCTATTTTCCCCTTAATTTAAAATTATCTCAGTGATAAATTTGGAGAAGAAAAATAGCTGATGAAAATGAGCAGCGACGACGTGGATTCGAACCATGGATCTTTGTATCCATAGCTCATCTCGCTATCCATTAGGCTACTGTGTGGTAGCTCGACGACAACGGTTCTTTAAAATGCTTTAATGTATTGTAACTAGTTGAGAAACTAACAACAATGCTGTTGATGTCTTTGTCCGTTCTCATGGATAAACATGAATTATTCATGACATTGCCCCTAACCCTCCTAGGAATAAAAATTACGCCCCCTGGGGCATCCGTCTGGCATCAAATCATTAAAATAACCTCAGATTCATATTCGTTGACACCGAAAACCCCTCCAAAGTTGTATTACTTATGATTCTAGCTAGTTAAGTTTTTAACTGCGGTATGTGGAAGCCATTTTGGATTTTGCCAATATGGCGGTCCTTTGGGGCATCTGTCTTGCCTCAAATCGTTAAAATAACATCAGATTCAGATTGCTCGACCCGAAAATACCTGAAAAGTGGTATTATTTATGATTCTAGCTCATTTAGTTCGAATGACCTCTGACCCGGTTGGCGGCCATATTGGATATTGCCAATATGGCGGCCCCGTGGGGCGCCCGTCTTGGCGCCCGTCAAAAATCGAAATAGTATGGTATGACTGACATCTGTGCCAAATTTGGTGCTTTTGGAAGAAACTGAACCAAACGGCCCCTATAACGCCCTAACATCCCTGACTATGTAGAAAATATGATCCATCTCAGGATTAGTTACATCAAGTTTTACATGAAGGTACTGTGGGAAAATAAATTGTAGCAAATGGTTAACGCTCTGGGGGACCTTTGCTACATCCTTAACACAACACATCAACATCCCTAAACCTTTATTCTCAGCAATTTTTGATGAACACCCATTCATTTCTATCAGGGAAGTCAAATTTTGTGCATTTTTGAACGACTTCAAATGACCCCAGATGACCTTTGACCTCAAGTTTTTGAAGAGACATCAAGACAAACCACCCAAGGATAACTCCATCCAAGTTACATCAAAATCCATCAAATCATGTACCCAAAAAAGATTTGAAGCATATTTTAACAATGACCTCTAATGAACCCTACATGACCTTTGACCTCAACATTCCAAAAATGTGTGTCTTCCTGGTCAAGGGTCACTACATCTTAGTTACATCAAAATCCTTTAAAGCCTTACAATGTTATAACCTTTCCAAAAAAGATTAACCTAAACTTCTTTGACTTACATCATAACTGACCTCAGCTGACATTTGACCTGAAATACATCCCACTTTATCCTTGCTACTCAATGACCTTTGAGTGCAAGATTTATGAAATTCAGGGAAATAGTTGGGAAAGGAGAAAAATTTGAAAATTTGATAATACTTATATGGGGATACAGGAACTCAGGACTGGTGATTGTCTCCTAAAATTCTTTGAGGTGACACAAAAACATTACGACAAATTCGCACCAACAAGAATTAGCAAAACAAAGCACAACTGAGATCTACCACTGTAAATGATAAGGTCATCAAACACACAAATATAATTCATGCAACACATTTGATTACATGTTTGTGCAACAATATGAAACAACAATGTTGAACAAAGAATGCACATAGACTTCATTAAAACTGCTTACCTTTTCCAGAGTTGAGTGTCTTTGTTCTTTCCAATGCTTCATACACAATGCCAAAGTGTCAAGATGGTAATTACATAATCGGCAATAAAACATAGCCTGGGGAAATCTGGAACTTTTCTAAAAACAAAACAAAAAACAAAACAAAAACACAGCAATGACAGGTTATTAAGGTGAATAACACAAAACTTTACATAAATAAAATGAAATGCCAAAAGTTTCTTTGCTTGGGCAATTAAGGTTTTATAGCACCTCCTCATTATATCATACTTTGGCAGTTTTTTTGTGTTAATGTTTTAATCAATGGCCCAACATTCTCCACTGTTGTGTTTTCTCCACCTTTTTTCTGGTCTACAGGTACATGTTATTGAAGACCTGATCTTGAACAGAAAGGCACTTTTAAACTCTGGTTATTTTTTTCAACGCAGTTGATCAATGGTAAAGCCAACCCAAACCTTTAAACTTTCTGTAGTAACAGAAGTTTGACAAACAGTACCGGTACTTTATACTGTGCACACCTTTTTCAGTCTGAAAATGTGATGTTCTTCCAATACATCATCATTGATACCAACAGAGGGAGAAGGGGAGTATCCAGTGTTCGGTTGCATTACAGTGGATGTTGGCAGAACAATTTCCTTGTCTTCTGATTTGTTCTGTTTCTTGCCCCTTGTTCCATCTGATCCAAACTGAGTAAGGTCTGGATGGATAGCTGAAATATGTTCCTCCTGCATCTTGGCACGTTCATTCTTGATTCTTACATCCTTGGCATCTTCATCCTTGATTCTTACATGTACAAAATCAGCATGAGAAGATGCATCCGGAGGGTCTTTTTCTTGAGTAACATCAATATTTAGATGTGTATCATACTTCTGAACTTTCCTCAAGTATCGTTGTTGTTCTCTTGCCTTTATCTTTTCTTTGGCATTCTTACTGTGTTTCTTATGTTGTCCTGCAGGAAATTTGGGAGAAGGATGGTCCATGGTAGCAGGGTTTTGCAAGCATCAATGTGTCAATCTGTGGGGAAAAAATTCAATAGTTTTCAATCAAGCAGTAATTTATCACACCAAAGCAACATGGTTTCAACAAAGTAGAGCAAATTACTATTCCTGAGATGTTGGCTTCTTTGACTGCAGTATACCTACTGATGTAAATCAGCCAACAATGAGACATGAAATAAATACAGTCGTGGTTTTGTACACGATTTGAGATCGTGGACGTTCGGTCAATCGTGGACGTATTGTTTGCGCCCCAATTCTTTTGTCCTACATCCACGATTGCCGGTGTTTACATACTCACCCACAGCGTCAACACACTCCAAAGCGTCAACACAGCGTCAACACATCCAAAATGCATTAAAAGTGACAAAAGCAGTATGTAACCCATACAGTGTGCACAGAAACAAGATTTTGGCTTAAAATCAATCTAGATTAAACGTCTGAAAATGCGATTTTCAGTTCAAGAAAATTGGCTCTCCGTGCCGCTCCGAAATCGGCTGCCATGTTGCCTCAGTGGCAGCACGGACCATACCATTATGCCAAAGCCAAAGGGTGACAGCGTTGTACAATAAACCAACAGAGAGAGCGCGGCCGGCCAATACCAAAAGATGTCCATTTCAATAAAGTAAATGAAACATAAACACAACTCACAAAATAATGGGGCACAATTGCAGAATACCCCGCCCACTCGATCTATCCACCTCGTAGCCGGCTACGAGGTCACGGCTGATTGACCTCAATAAACATTCTCAGCGCTACTTGTATGTACTATGCGTCATGCTCCATTGCACTCCCACTTTGTGACCGCGTAGCCGCCAACAGGGTAGTTGGTTTGGACTTAGAATTTTTTCAGCAACTCCCATTCCTTTTGTGTTGCTTCGTTCTCAAGCATATTCAAGGGGACTCCCACTCCATAGCCTCGTAGCCGCCAACAGGGTTGTTGGTTTGGACTTAGAATTTTTTTCAGCAACTCCCATTCATTTTGTGTTGCTTCGTTCTCAAGCATATTCGAGGGGACTCCCACTCCGTAGCCTTGTACCCGCCAACAGGGTGGTTGGTTTGGACTTAGAATTTTTTTCAGCAACTCCCATTCATTTTGTGTTGCTTCATTCTCAAATAATGGACCCCCACTCAGTATCCGCGTAGCTGGCAATGGACTTGAATTGTTTCTTTTGCAGTGCTTCCAACCTCGTAGCCAGTGATTTTAGGGGTGTATTTCCTAGTGGCGGGGTATTCTGCAATTACTCCAAATAATGATCCACCACTCCGATCCTCAGTCCTCACAGATCTGGTATCCCTCTGTTGTTTATGACAAGATAATGTCATTACCTACACACCCCTGCTTGAAATGGTGTAGTCCAAGATTTGTGCGAAGTCAAGATGGCGGACAACGGCCGTGCAAGTGAAAGGTCATTTTTTCGCGTGAAAATACTATATTTTTAAGGCAGTGTATATTTTGCCGGAGACGGCAAACCTTTAGTAAACGTTAGTTTGCCGGATATGCACTGAACATGCGCAGTTACTGTTTTTTTGTACTTAAACATTTTCCAGTGACAAATTTTAGTCTGGCTCCATGCCAAAATTATCGTTGTAACCTCGTATTCACAAGATGGGATTCAGATTATAATTTCGGACTTTATTTCCCTTTAAAAAAAAATCCTCCAGAGCCACTAATCTGAAAAAGAAAATGTAATACTCTGCAAAAAAATGTTTGAGACATGTTAAAATAATAAAAGAAGAATATTCTTATTTATTTGGGGATGAGAAAAAAAAACCTTAAAAATGTGCTGCGGTCGGAATCGAACCCAAGTCATCCCGCTTACTAGAGCCTTCGTCTAACCACTACACCAAACGTGCTACACAACTTTTGGTGGGAATTTAATACATCTTATAATTCAGCCCTATCTTAAAGAGTACAGTGCCCTCTGTTGATATGGAATACCGCCGGCAAACCTTTAGTAAACGTTAGCTCTACTGGGTGGAGCATTGAATTACGGGTACCCCTCCATACCAACGCTCCACCGATTTGCCATACTTTGGTAGCACCATCACAGTAGCATAGTCACAAACCCACGCGAGGACAAAAAGACCCCCCAAAAACGGTAAAGAGATTACAAATGAGAGAGACAGTTATCCTGCATTGATCTATACATTTTTGACATTCCATGAGACCCCTTATATTGTTCCCAAACAGCGAACATTTTGGAAAAAAACAGCAAAATAGTCTGAAAACTTACAGTTCAATGTGTTTGCATGGAGGCTCAGTTCTTGAATTAGCTTGTCAATGAGGGCGTCTGACGTGACGTCACCGTCGTTGCTCGATCGCGAAGAAAAACAAGTCGCGCTTTATCAACGACTGTTTTGTGTAATAATACGTGCTCCTTGGGTGTGTTCAAAGCCCATACTGTCGTACGGCGCGGCGCAGATCGGAGCACGTATTATTACACGAAACAGTCGTTGATAAAGCGCGACTTGTTTTTCTTCGCGATCGAGCAACGACAGTGACGTCACGTCAGACGCCCTCATTGACAAGCTAATTCAAGCACATGTATTTGTTTACAAACGTGACTCATTTTCATAATCGATGCATCGCGCGCTTGGTAACGGAATCGCACTCGGGATACGGGGACCATCGAATGTACGCTGGGCATGTAGAAGAAATCGCGTCGTTCAAACATTAAACACGATCGGGAATTTAACGTGTTCAAGATCGCGAGGGGAACTCTCCGAAATGAACGGAAAATTTCACTTTTTTTCTGGATCGTAAGTAAACTTCAGTACAACTAGCTGGAGTTACCCAGCCCCGAGTTTTATCATTGGGTTGTCATTTAGGGCTGGAGCGAGTTTTTCTCGTAACTTGTAGTATAGGCAAAACATTTTGGAAAATGTTCAATTTTGTTCCCGTTAGGCCTAAAAAAAAAAAGTGTTATGTTGGCGTAACCCGACCGACCCTAAAAATGCGGCCGACCCTGGATTTTTTTTTTTTTTTGAAGGGAAGAAATATTATTAAAATCTATAGAAATGAATTTTAAATACATTTTGAAACCATTTCTGACCGTTTCTCCTCAATTGTATGACGATAGCGCGCGTGGAACGTTGGAGTGCACAATGTTTTGCACCTTCCTACAACGAACATGCAGAAGATCGCGCAAGCCTACAGGCTAGGCAGTGCGCGTGCCGAGATCGATGCACGATGCATGCATGATAGATGCACATGTACATGTACAGTACATGTATAGCCTCGTCCTAGACTGTTGCACGGCGCACACAATATTTGTATACTTTTAAACTCATCATCAACCTTTCCAAAGGTACATATCAAAAAGCGGAATCCAAAATCAGACAAAATGTTAGCCGTTTCATCTGCGTCGACATCTTTATATGGACCCGATTCTTCCTTTGAAGTTTGCATTTTTAGCACGGTGTAACCCGCTTTTACACCATCGGCACAGCTCTGGGCGATTACCCCCAGCTCTAGACTGAATTTTATCCGCATCTGCGTCGACATCTTTATATGGACCCGATTCTTCCTTTGAAGTTTGCATTTTTAGCACGGTGTAACCCGCTTTTACACCATCGGCACAGCTCTGGGCGATTACCCCCAGCTCTAGACTGAATTTTATCCGCATTAAACGGTCGAAAATGACCGAAGATCCTCATTTGCCCTTGATGGAAACACTGTACGCTTCGGTACCGGGCGCCATGATGCGACGGCGTACGCGCGTATCCACCACGAGCCGAGGGCCGGGGGCCGGCAGGGTCGCGTCGGCCGCAGGGGTTACAAAATAGTTTACCATTTTTAGAATAAATGTATATCAATTGTTATCGTGTAAGATAGTGGAAAATTAATTAAAATAATTTATATTATAATGAACTATTTTTTTTAAACATGGAATAAATAGCGAAGTATTTTCAATAGTGTACGTAGCATTCATTGTACATAACTTCTTTTTTTTTTAGGCCTTACACACTAATTGCAACTGCAACTCACCCCAAACTTGCCTGGAATAACCATTACACAGGTCCTTGAAGTAAAAAACGATCCACGATGAAGATTCAGCCTACAATTGCAGTGAAAACAGGAGGAATAACCGCTAACTTGACAACCTTGCTATTGGTTGCGGTTCCAGTACCAAAGCTGTGATGCGAGTTGTAAACCTTATATTACGGCATGAAACAGTCATCGGGTGTTACGCTTCCGTGTGACGTCATGCGCCAACAGCCAGCGCAGCCGGCAAAAACGAGTAGTTGACAGCGATCGCTCTCTGTGCCTGTTAATCGACCGCCATTCATTGTACACAATTTTTGTTTGTGCACAAACCAATTGCGGTCCTGGCCAATCCAGCAAGGTTGTCAAGTTAGCGGTTATTCCTCCTGCTTTCACTGCAATTGTAGGCTGAATCTTCATCGTGGATCGTTTTTTACTTCAAGAACCTGTGTAATGGTTATTCCAGGCAAGTTTGGGGTGAGTTGCAGTTGCAATTAGTGTGTAACGGGGACAAAATTGAACATTTTCCAACAAATTTTGCCTATACTACAAGTCACGAGAAAAACTCGCTCCAGCCCTAAATGACAACCCAATGATAAAACTCAGGGCTGGGTAACTCCAGCTACAGTACAACCATCTTAATTATCTACTTGTACCTCAGCTCAGGTGGCATAGGCCCTATCTAGTAATTTGGACATGTTGGAGGCCGTTTTGAAGGTGAAATCTGATGTTTTTTGTTGGAAAATGTTGGTTTGGGACAGTGACAGGATGCGGTTGTCCAGGTCGCGGCATTAGCTTGGACCCCACTATCGCCAGACCATGTCCAAAATGTTAAAAAAGGCGATAAGTTGGGTCCAAGTTACTCGGACTAGTTCTAGGAGTAACCACTCACCTAGACCCGTGAACGTGGCGTTGTATACAACGCCAAGTTCTTGTGTCATTTCGAACCTGGCGAAATCGATCCGACGTACATAATTCCGTATGGGTGTTGAGTACTCACCTAGAAATCTAAATTTGCCCGTTATTGTTTA